TTTAGTTCTTTCTTATGTATCTACACATGTTTTAACAAACTCTATTTAAAATGGAAACAGAATTAACCATTTACAGCAAATCGTAAAAATAATTCAGTCCTTGACCTAATTCCCATATTGAAATCCCTGTACCTAATTCATTAGCGAGATCTAACCTTTCCTTAATCGAATATAATGTTGGATAGAAAACATACCCATTACCTACAGGTAACCTGAAATAAAAGCATTTATATATAGGGTGTTCAGTAATAACCGTATCACTTCTCGTGTACAGATAGAGTAGATTAAACCAAGGAGAAAAGTCCTTTTTGTGATTTTCGAGATCGATATATATATATATATATATATAAACATTAATGTTTTATTAATTATAAATCCGACAACTTAAATAATACTTCGTAAGTCAGAAAAAAACCCTACTTTGATTTAAAGAAATGCTCCTTGCTGTTATCATCCCACTGGATCTTTCCTTTAAATGATTTCAATATATCCAAGTATTCAGATGCAAGAATTGCTCTACCACCCTCTGGTGTATAAATGTAACCATAGAAATTAATACCTAATAAAATTTGAGATCGTCTACGATCGTCTTTCTGCGGAACTAATAGTTCAACACATTGTCTGGCCCAATTTAAAGGACTATTTGGGCCTGGTCTTTGAATACTCGAATAATCGTAAGTCATTAGTGAAAAAGCATTTACATATGATGCTAAGTCATCAAATTGTTGTTTTGAAAACAATTCAATTTGTGCACTAAAAAAATTTGAAGAAATGTCAATTAAATAGGAAGTTAATATTTATGTCATATACATATACAGACAAGCCCTTGTATTGCATATTTTTTGACTTCCTATTGTTTATTATATCTCTTCTGCTGCTCTCACTATTCTACATTTGCATAATTAGATGATTATGCATGACGACATAGTCATACAATTTAATACAAGGGCCTTCCTGCAAAAGTACTTTCAAAAAGTATTGTCATTAAGTACCCTCTAGATGGTGGTATTGCTAATATAATGTCCAAATTATGCTTTTTTAACTCCTGTGCAATAAATCTAACTATAAAAGTAACAACTGATAAATTTGCACCTGCAAATACAAATTGGTTCCATATTTCTAAAACATATCCATTAAAATGGAAGGTCTGTAAGCATAAGATATTTCTATATATCATATTTTAATAGAATAAACAATAATCTATTTTTTGAGAAAAAAGATATTCTATTTATACCTGGGCAACATCCAAGAGCGATACTATTAATTGTGTTTGGCTTTCTGTATTATTGTATATTCTAATAATGTCGTCAATTGACCAGTTTTCAAACAATACTCTAGGTAAGACTAAAAGTAATAATAATTCAATAATAAATAACTAACCAATATAGATCCATAGATGTATTTCAATCCATTTTTACTTACGCTTTACGCTATGAATAGCATTATTATTATTTCTCATTTCTTTTATCCATTTAGTCTGTATAGAGTGAGTGGCCAATTGATAGGTTGACAGATTGCCAAAAGGAAAAGACAACCATACTGGTGATATCATTGTGAACTTGCCATGAAATGTTTTAGAAACTTTGAATCCATCCGCATTCCACTGTAAAATCAGATATATTCAACAAATAAATATATTTTACTCTTATAATTCTCTACAAAGCTATACATAGCATTGCAATAATTACTTACAGAAGTACAATATCCTAACACTTCTTTTTTAAATCTTTTATGATTTGTATCTTGAAAATATCGGCCAGATTCATGAAGAATATCCTGCTGTTTAGGATTTTCTACTACTAAGTTTCTTTGGAAAACATTTTGATTTACAGGACCCTGGTACAACTTAAAGTACAATATTTAAAATAAAAAAATATTTATATATTTATAAAAAAAATAGAACATCTCTTTTTATGATATCTACCTTATTGGTAGTTTTTTTTTTCTCTTTTTCATTTTTTCTTGCCGGTGGTGACAGAGTACCACAACATAATTCTCCAAGAAATAATATTACAATCAGAATAACTACGTTCATACTATGTAATTATATTTAGTCACAATTACAAAATATTTCAAATCATATTTAAAATATTCCTTAAATGACATCAAATGTAAAGTTTATTTGTGTCGCACTTTCTATATATTCTATATATTAGATTCTCCGCTTTTTATCTTTTTAATGCCTGTATATATTTCTATAGTTTTGATAAGGATTAGACAGTTTTTGTAAGGTCCAAACTTGCTGCCATACTTTAATATATTACATTTGTCTCATTAAAGAGCAAAAATCTCTGAAAATTGAAAAACGAACAAATACAAAAAACAAACCAAAACAAGCCTATATTTCCGCAGATTTCTAGATATTATACTAGACGCTAGCTAATATAAATGCTAAACATGTAAGGGCAGCCATTTTCAATTGGGCAAAATATACAGGCAGTGATGGAGTGATGCCACATTCGGAACGCGCATCACGCCAAACCGTGATAGAAGGGATAAACAACAGGGCCGCGTTCGAGAACATCACCCGTGTGCACACGAGCGTCGTTCTATCTTTGTTCAACTTTCAGTAAATAACAAAGATAGAACGACGCTCGTGTGCACACGGGTGATGTTCTCGAACGCAGCCCAGTAGAAAACCACATTCATGCGAGACATGTACGCGGTTTTTGATTGGTGCGTATCCCCTCTATCACGGTTTGGCGTGATGCGCGTCCCGAATCTGACATCACTGTATACAGGGTGTCCGATAATAACCGTATAATTTTTCATGTACAGATAGAGCTGGTTAAACCGAGAAGTCTTTTACCATTTTGCAATTTTCAAAACAATTATAGAAGTAAAAATCTATACACATGCGCACGCGCGCAAATATATCCGCTACTCAACCGCATAAACGCACGTATATAATATTATATTATTATTTTTATAACTTTTATTCATTTTTATAACACACATTTCATATTCGATAATTTTTTAATCAGATGTAAGATTAAATGTATCAATTATTTACTGTTATGGCCATTGCAAATTAATACCCGTGACATCTAACGCTACAATATCCACTTCAGCATTGAGAAAATCACATAAACTCGGCTTAGTCCTACCAAAATCACCATGTACGAATTCCTTCACGTATGTACCCGCTTGTGTTTTAACATCGAGAATAAAAAACTTATCGGTATTCTCAACGGAAACTTGTAATAATTTCTTCAGTTCATGCGGTTTTGCCCAGCGTACGCGCATCTCGTAAATGATGCGCGTTCGTGGACTTAAAGGCCTCCTATGCAACACTCTTATTGGTGTTTTCTGAATGATTTTTATATTCTTCAATTCATTTAGAGTTTCCAATTGTGACAAACTACCGCCGTTCGTGCTTTGACAAACGCATAAGGCACGATAAAACTTTGTTTTAACATTCTCACCTTCTTTAAGCTTTTTCAAATCAAACCTGAAAATGTATATATATTTACCTTAATTTGTTTACTTAATACTCATTGAATCTATTTTAATCTTATATATATATATATA